TTTTKGSYTTTTTTTTTATCATCAATCAAACACATCTTARTATCTTTTTAATTTAGCCTCTATTATTTAAAATTATTTAATTTAATTTTTATATTTTCACTTTTTTAATTACAAATTTTTTATTGATAAATATTCAAATTAGTCTATCATATGCTTATATGATATACGYGGTGAGTTCGTAGAAATTAGCCATCTAATTTTTCTTTTCCTTTTTTTAAAGACTCTTTCTCCRTATAAATTTTTACCAATTTACTTCGTGTCAGGTAAAGTTTGTTCTTACCTTTTAAGTCTCAACTCAAGACTAAGCAAAATCAAACTCATATCACAATGTTGAGTTTTGACAAAATATTAAAATGAAAAGTTRTCCCACATCGAAAAGATAAAATGAAAAAAGTGTGTTTCAACTACTATAAATGGAATTCRTGACCTTGAGTTCTATTCTCAATTATTTTTTTTGCTCATTCGTAAKGTAAAAGTAAGAGGTTTTTTCACATCACAAAAGCCAAACTCTAAACTAAATCCAAATTCATTCCTTCTAATTGGTGTTGCTCCTATACCTCTTCAATGGGAGATTTTATCCCACCTAAAATTCAAGCCACACACTCAAAATCCAATAAATCTTAGCCATTTTGCAAGAGAAAAGAAGGGCAAGAATTTGCAAAATGCTGCCACTAATACATCAAACGACAGAGCTAAAAACAAGAGGAGATTGGAAAGCGTGAAGAAAGCAAAATTGTGTGAAACAGAGGCCGATTTATGAGCCTTAAAAACTTAAAAAAAAAAAAAAAGAAAGTGAGTGTTTGATCTTCCCATTGTCATTCTTTCTCTTTGTTTGGCAATGGCAGAACAGAAGATGGTTGAGTTCCTAAACTAAATCAATAATTTGCTGTCATTTTGCTTTAGTATTTGTCTATTATTTTCTCAGATTTTCTGACACTTCCCTCGAATCCATTCCCCAACCTTTAACTTTCTTCTCCTCTCTTTGTCCATCACTCAGCTTATTCTTTTCCATGCCCACATGCCCTTGGATCTCTCTCACTCTATCTCTGCTTAATTAATGGTGGCCATCGGAAAAAGCTGTTTCGTCTCCTAAATTCCACCCACTTTAGCTTCAAACCCCAAGATTTAGAATTTAATAACCGTAATAATTTGAACCTCCCATATTCCGATCAAAAATATTAGTTGAATTACATTCAGATGGACTTTATCACTGTACTTTTATCTCAAAATGGACACCCATGCATTTATTTAGCATGGGCAAGCAGCCCATTTGAGTCAGATTGAGAATTTTGGGAAGTAAAAAGTGCTTTTCACCAATTGGTTAGATAATGAAAATTGATTTTGGAAATTCTAAAAATAATGAGAAGAAAATACTTAAATTACCATTAAAAGAAACAGTTAATTAATGCTTCTTCTGAAAATCCTCATATAAATCAAAAGTAATTTTACTTCAAGCCGCTTTTAGTCTAAAATGTCTTTGGTTTGATATTTTTTTTAGTACAATATGTTGGGGAGGGGATTCAAACTCACAATCGAAGGTATATGTTAATTATCGCAGAGCTATGCTCGTTTTGATGTCTTGATTTAATGTTTGAACTATATAAATCGTGCACAACTTAATGATAGCTTAAAATTGATAGTTAGGATATTAATCACAACTAACTCCTTTTTAAATAATATTATGGTCATTGCTTCAAAAAAAAAAAAAAAAAGATGATTTTGGTCTTAAACTTTAACACAAATTTTATACATAATTAAATTCTTTAATGCAAAAGTGATCAAAACTTGAGTAGTGATCAAAAATAAATAAATTGTGCATAATGTCTGAAGTGTTAGGTTAAAATGGTGATAAAAACAAATGAAAATAAAATGACCAAAATAGTAACTTTTTAAAAGTACACGTACCAAAACCAACGTTTTGAAAGTACATTGACTTAAACAAACAAAAGTTAAAAGCATGAGAACAAAAATTGACAATTTAAAAATATAAGAACCAAAATAAACTAAATCCGAAAGTAGATGAACCAAAGTACTAGTTAAACTTTTTCCTTTAAACCTTTTATTGTTAGCCTAATGGCCAAGAAATTGTATAGGGTTAGGATCTCATTCATCTCTAATTACATTCTTGCTTATCCAAAATAAACTAACAAAGTTAAGTTGATTTAAATTTACAATTCAAAATACCGATCTCTCACTGAAAGATACTCATTCAATACTATGGTAACAAGTACTACTCCCATTAATATAACCACATCATCAAGAAATATATCATTGGATCCACCTTTCCGTTGAAACAAGTACCTATAACCTACCTTATCCCACCACTTATGTACCATTGTCAAAAAAAGAAAATCATTAAAAGATTGTAATCAAAATAAATGCTAGTGTGTAATTGTGTTGTATTGTATAATGCATGTGTGTTCAGTTTTCATTAATGGCAGCCCCTTTCCTAAGACTTTAGTTCAATAATTAGGCATCCAAAGATAAGGCGTAGTGGGTAAGAAGAAAACCTTTTTCGTTCTGACAAAAATAGCAGAGTCAATGTGTATACGCCATCAGTGGTTTTGTTTCTCTGCAGTCAACCTTCAAACCTGCAAAATAAATATTCAAATACTGCATAAGGCTATTCTTTATTATTTGTTTTTCATTTTACCATACTTTATGCAGGATGACTTTGGATAATTTAATCAGTTTTATTAGGTTGAACGGCAAACAGGGCAACATCCAAAATGATCCATCCTTTCTTCATTGTGTGTAGCAAAACTCGCCTGATTTGAAGGAGACAAACAGGGTAAGGTAAGTAAAGTCTCAGCCTTTTTTCAACATTTCATACCTTATTTCACATTCTTCCTCTTCCAAACAGTGCTTTTTTTAAATACTGTGTTCTATTTCTCAATTTTTGTATACCAATTATGAGTTTGAATTCAACTCTATTCCATCTACTGTATTGCTGTTCATTTCTTAAATGCTAAATAATATTATGGTATTGGTTATTTTTTTTAGAGCATGGACATTTTAAAAGTTAAAAAGACCCCAGTAAATTTAAAAGTTTATAATTTGAGATAAAATATTTTAAAATTTTAAGGACTAAAATAGAGTTAAACAAAGTTTAAGGACTGAAATATATATTTTGAAAATTTCAAGTTTTACTTCGGAATACTTTTCATAAAATATTTACTCATCATATTGAAAAGAAAAAAAAACAGTCTACATTAAGGCTAAAATAAGTTAAAAAAAAAAAAAAAAAGAAAGTTAGAAACTTATATAGAGTTTTCGACTCCAATAAGAGTATGGAGTCTAACGGTTTGTTTCATGGATTCCCATTAGCCAAATACGTTGCCTGTTTTGAATGACTTTTAAAACATGGGGTTTTAGGATTCTTATGTTGGAAGAATCATCCCTTTACACTTTTGAGCTATATTTTATTTAATCAATTTTCTTTATTTTTGTTTTTAATTTTACAATTTAAATAAATTAACGTACTCATATACTAATGAACAACTTTATGCAATTAAGTATATTTATACATCACACTTTCATTAAAATAAACTTTAATTAAATTATATAATATCTCAATTTATTTTTAATATGGTAAAAGAATTATATTATCAATGATATACATTATCATAAACCAGTGCAGTGCACAAGAAGTAAGAAGCTCAATTCGAACCGTTTTGGAAGCCAGTTAAAAAGTTATTTTTCTTTAACTGACTTGAATTTGATAACTTCAACCCATTTTATAACCGTTAATATCTACTTTTCCATCTTTATTCAAATTCCATCATCTCCCAAAAAAAAAAAACATTACGAAAAGAAAAAAAAGTTCATTTTCTCCCTCCTACAAACTCCTACAAACTTCTATATTTGTTTGTGAAGTGTTGAAATAGAAATTTTACCTGCCCGTTGCGGTTGCTGTTCATAGACTTTTTCCAACTTCACTGATGCTATGATTAGCCTGAAACAAATGATAAATTTGATACTGAAATCAGTCAGAATAAAGTAAAATACAAAATAGGAACAATTATAAGGTTTTGACAATGACTAGGAGCATTATTTATTGGGATTAAAGAGGAGATATTTTAATTGTTTTTGGTGGTGAGGTGAAAGGGAGAGGGTATTCTATTTCCCCCTACTTTGAATATGTTCTAGTCAAAAAATTATTAAAAAAAAAAAAAAAACTCCATCTCCAAGTTTTGAAACAGTGTGATTTGTCGGATGGGAAAATCCATCTCTTTTCCCACTCCGGGACTCTCTCTAACATGTGTCACTTTCTATGTTTTTTACGGAAGAAGCAAAGTGGGAACAATTGAAAAAGCAATCTGACTGTAAAAAGAGGCAGACCAGTATTTGTCTGTCTTTGACACTTGCATTCAATAAGAACTAAGAAGAACCAAGAAGAAGAAGAAGAAGAACAACTCTGAGAGAGAGAGTGAGTAAAAAAAACCACACCACTGTCACTACTGTAGTGTTAGTGCAGCCAAAGAAAAGAGATAATGGGTGGTGGGAAAGATAAAAGTTAAAAGCGAGCTCAAAAATATAAGGTAAAGAAGGAAGGAGGGGGGAAAATTGTTGATAAAGCGAGGAATTTCGCCAATGTCACAATATTCTGAGGAGATAAAGACGATTGAGCAGTGGAAATGGTCCGAAATGCAAGGCCTTGAGCTCGTCTCTTCTGATCCTCCTCCCGACCCATTAAAACCAACAGAGAGGGACAGAGACCCAGAAGACCCCAAAGCTCAAAACGGAGACATGGAGGCCACCGGCGATTCCAAGAAGGAAAACGGCGGCGCTAGCAGCAGCAGCACCGCCGGGGAGAAACCTGAGGCCGTCACCGCCGTTGCCTTCGGGGAGCTTTTCAGATTCGCCGATGGGTTGGATTATGTTCTGATGGGAATTGGTTCGGTCGGAGCCCTCGTCCACGGCTGTTCTCTGCCTCTGTTTCTCCGATTCTTCGCCGATCTTGTTAACTCTTTTGGGTCTTACGCCAATGATGTGGATAAAATGATGCAGGAGGTGTTGAAGGTAAAGTAGAACAAAAACCCAAAAACGAAATCAAGTGTATATGTTAATGAAAACAACAAAAACTGAAGCCTCTGTTGTTGATTTTCAGTACGCATTCTACTTTCTCGTCGTGGGGGCTGCTATATGGGCGTCGTCCTGGGCAGGTATTGGGGAGTTTCCGTCAGCTTCTCTCTGGGTTTTTCTTTCCATTCATATTTGTGAATTGAACTGAAACTGGGTTGCAGAGATTTCGTGTTGGATGTGGACCGGAGAGCGGCAGTCCACGAAGATGAGGATCAAGTACCTAGAAGCGGCACTGGACCAGGACATTCAGTATTTTGATACAGAGGTTCGAACCTCCGACGTCGTTTTCGCCATCAACACTGATGCTGTGATGGTCCAAGACGCCATTAGTGAGAAGGTGAAGCACAGAAAAAGAAAAGAAACAGAACTCTATTTTTCAGTTTCTCTTTTTTGAAACCAGCCTAATTGAGAGGTAACTGGCATGAACTCTGCAGCTGGGCAACTTCATCCATTACATGGCAACTTTTGTGTCCGGATTCGTGGTGGGTTTCACTGCCGTGTGGCAATTGGCGCTGGTAACTCTCGCGGTGGTTCCTATGATTGCTGTAATCGGCGGCATCTACACCACCACTTCAGCCAAGCTCACTGCCAGAAGCCAGGAGGCTCTTTCCGAGGCCGGAAATATCGTCGAACAGGTTAGGGGCATTACTTCTAAAACTCGTTTTCTTGCAGATTTTAGCATCTTCTCGCATCTGGGTATCCTAAATTCTTGACGTTAATTGCAGACCATAGTTCAAATTCGAGTTGTTCTTGCGTTCGTCGGCGAATCGGGAGCATTACAGAGGTATTCCTCGGCATTGAAAATTGCTCAAAGGATCGGTTACAAGAGTGGATTCGCCAAAGGTATGGGATTGGGCGCCACTTACTTTGTTGTCTTCTGCTGCTACGCTCTTCTGCTCTGGTACGGAGGTTATCTGGTTCGACACCACGCCACCAATGGCGGCCTCGCCATAGCCACCATGTTCGCAGTAATGATTGGAGGACTGTAAGTAGCCACCATTTCCAAGTTTCCGTCTTGTCAAACCTTCAATTTTTTTGCTGACCAATCGCTTTGCTTCAACAGTGCATTGGGGCAATCTGCTCCGAGTATGAGTTCGTTCGCAAAAGCCAAAGTTGCAGCTGCCAAAATCTACCGTATAGTCGACCATAAGCCCACTCTGAACCGCAACAACGAATCCGGTCTGGAATTGGAGTCGGTTTCGGGCCTGGTTGAGCTGAAGAATGTTGATTTCTCATACCCATCAAGGCCAGATGTCAGAATCCTCAACAATTTCTCCCTAACTGTCCCCGCCGGAAAAACCATAGCTCTGGTCGGTAGCAGCGGCTCCGGCAAGAGCACCGTCGTCTCCCTAATTGAAAGATTCTACGACCCCGTTTCAGGTAAATAACCCCCATTTGCTTCCATTTTAAAAATACCTAACACATTGCTTTTGATTTTGATTTTGATTTTCAGTCTTATTCTTGAGATTTAAGCTTCTGGACATGGTTTCTGTGTTCACAAGAAAAGTTCCTTCTTGACTAAAATGTGCAGGAGAAGTTCTACTAGATGGGCGTGACATAAAAACTTTGAAGCTGAGATGGTTAAGGCAGCAGATAGGGCTGGTGAGCCAAGAACCTGCTCTTTTTGCCACCACCATTAAAGAGAATATTCTCTTGGGCAGACCTGATGCAGACCAAGTTGAGGTAGAAGAAGCTGCTCGAGTTGCCAATGCACATTCATTCATTATCAAACTTCCTGAAGGCTATGACACCCAGGTTAGTTATCTCAAAGCCTATTTGTTATAATACACGACAGACGAAACTTCGACTTTTTTCGAACGTAAGACATCGTTGCTTATGGTGTAAGGTGGTTATCCCGTCAGATTAGTTTGGGAGCCATGGTTATAAAAGAATATACTGAGGCAATGTTTTATTGTTTGGAGCAAAAAGGGCTGTTTCGATCTAACTAAGATATAGGGCTTAAGATTTATATATTTTTCATTCCTGCATTTGTTTCTCCTATTTTGAATAGCAAAATGGAATATTTTTATTTTTGTTTAACAAGGTAAACCGACTTTATTTTGGAGGGGTGGAAGTGAGAAGAAATGTTTTGGTCCTACAAAACAATGGAAACAGGATAACATGCCTTGGTCAACAATGCATGTGCAGAAATTAATAGGTTTTTAACTTGTCTGCTCTGACAAATCAGAACCAAATAAACTAAAGGGAGCACATATCAAGCATATGGGTATGGGGATTGAATAGATAATAGTCAATGCTGACATCTATGTACAAATAATACAATATTATTTACACATCTATAATATATAGTTTTCAATTACTAATTTTCAACATTATAAGGAAAAAAAGGTACTGTTGAGATTAGCATGCTGTAGAAGAAATAATGATATGACATGAAGATGATGGGGTTTTGAAGATATTGAAAGAGTAAGAATGAGAGGGGTCAATTATTTCTTGCGCCACAAAATTCGACTGTGGAGTATATAATATAACTCGGGAAAAACAGATATATTTTTAATCATATTTAGAACTTCGAGAGAACTGAGAGAACATAATTTTTGAACTTTTTGATTGTCTCCTATCGATCTATATGCTTTACATTTCCCACTTTTATCTAAAATACCAAAAACTTCACTACTTTTCACCTTTGGTAGAATGATTGTAAAATTACTCTGAATCCTGGGGGTGAAAAGAAACACTTTGAAACAACATTGCTTATCTAAGATACCAGACATATGAACCTTTAATCTAGTTTTGGTTGAAGAAATGAAGAGTTAATAATGTGAATCCCGAGGTTTAAAGTAGAAAGTTGGTATTTGGTAGGTAGGAGAACGAGGACTGCAGCTTTCTGGAGGGCAGAAGCAGAGGATAGCGATTGCAAGGGCGATGCTGAAAAACCCTGCAATCCTACTCTTAGATGAGGCGACTAGTGCATTGGACTCTGAGTCGGAAAAGCTTGTACAGGAGGCTCTTGATCGTTTCATGATAGGGCGGACCACTCTTGTTATTGCCCATCGCCTCTCTACCATTCGCAAGGCTGACCTTGTGGCTGTACTCCAACAAGGAAGTGTTTCTGAAATTGGAACACACGACGAGCTCATTGCTAAAGGAGAGAATGGTGTCTATGCCAAGCTCATCAGAATGCAGGAGACGGCACATGAAACCGCTCTCAATAATGCCAGAAAGAGTAGTGCAAGGTAGCTGAAAATGTCTTCTATTTCTTCTTTCTGAATCCTCTCACCCTATTTTTTCTAACTAACATGGCTTATGACGATCCTTAATCTAGGCCTTCAAGTGCCAGGAACTCTGTCAGCTCCCCAATAATCGCACGGAATTCTTCCTATGGACGATCACCATATTCACGTCGGTTATCTGACTTCTCCACATCTGATTTCAGTCTATCTCTGGATGCCTCACTTCCCAATTACAGGCTTGAAAAACTTGCCTTTAAGGAGCAGGCCAGTTCCTTTTGGCGTCTCGTCAAAATGAATTCACCTGAATGGGTTTATGCATTACTTGGTTCTGTTGGCTCTATTGTTTGTGGGTTTCTAAGCGCCTTCTTTGCATACGTTTTAAGTGCTGTTCTAAGTGTCTATTACAATCCAGACCATGGTTTCATGAGCAGAGAAATTATAAAATACTGCTACTTATTAATCGGACTTTCATCAGCTGCTCTTCTCTTCAATACAATACAGCATTTCTTCTGGGATATTGTGGGAGAGAACCTCACCAAACGTGTAAGGGAGAAGATGCTGACAGCAGTACTGAAAAATGAAATGGCATGGTTTGATCAGGAAGAAAATGAGAGTGCCAAGATTGCTGTAAGGCTGGCCCTTGATGCGAACAATGTCAGATCAGCCATTGGAGACAGGATTTCTGTGATTGTACAGAACACATCACTCATGCTAGTTGCATGCACAGCTGGGTTCGTTTTGCAGTGGCGCCTTTCTCTCGTCCTTGTAGCCGTCTTCCCTGTGGTTGTTGCAGCCACAGTTCTACAGAAAATGTTCATGACTGGTTTTTCAGGAGACCTTGAGGCCAACCATGCCAAGGCCACACAACTTGCAGGGGAGGCCATAGCCAACGTAAGGACGGTTGCTGCATTCAACTCGGAGGAAAAGATTGTAAGGCTTTTCTCAACCAACCTCGAGATTCCACTGCGGCGCTGCTTTTGGAAGGGACAGATTGCTGGTAGCGGATTTGGTGTAGCTCAGTTTTCTCTTTATGCTTCCTATGCTCTTGGTCTTTGGTACGCCTCATGGCTTGTAAAGCATGGGCTCTCTGATTTTTCAAAGGCAATCCGTGTTTTCATGGTCCTCATGGTTTCTGCAAATGGCGCAGCTGAAACACTCACTCTGGCTCCTGACTTTATCAAGGGTGGGCGAGCTATGCGTTCAGTCTTTGCCCTACTAGACCGCAAAACTGAAATTGAACCTGATGATCCAGATGCCACCCCGGTGCCAGATAAACTTCGTGGAGAAGTTGAATTTAAGCATGTTGACTTTAACTACCCAACTCGTCCCGACATCCCCGTCTTTAGAGACCTCTGTTTGCGTGCTCGAGCAGGTAAGACTCTTGCTCTTGTTGGTCCTAGCGGGTGTGGCAAGAGCTCTGTTATTGCACTAGTCCAAAGATTCTATGAGCCAACATCAGGACGAGTTATGATCGATGGAAAGGATATTCGTAAGTTCAATCTCAAGTCCCTGAGAAGACACATTGCAATGGTCCCTCAAGAGCCATGCTTATTTGCTGCTTCCATCTATGAAAATATAGCTTATGGCCACGAATCAGCCACCGAGGCTGAGATCATCGAAGCTGCTACTTTGGCCAATGCCCACAAGTTCATATCTGCGTTGCCAGAAGGATATAAAACTTTTGTTGGGGAGAGGGGAGTTCAACTGTCAGGTGGACAGAAACAAAGAATCGCAATTGCCCGTGCTCTGATCAGAAAGGCAGAGCTCATGCTACTGGACGAGGCAACAAGTGCACTCGATACCGAGTCTGAACGATCTGTCCAGGAGGCTCTTGACCGAGCTTGCTCAGGAAAAACAACCATTGTAGTGGCCCATCGACTATCAACAATCAGGAATGCTCATGTGATTGCGGTAATTGATGATGGTAAAGTTGCAGAACAGGGATCACATTCACATTTGTTGAAAAATTATCCGGATGGGTGCTATTCACGGATGATACAATTACAAAGATTCACACACAGCCAAGTCATTGGCATGACTTCAGGTTCAACTTCCTCAGCAAGAACTAGAGAGGATGAGGACAGAGAAAGCTAGGAAATGATGGAACGAACCTTAGTAGTTTAAAAGAAAGGAAAAAAAAGAAAATCCCTTATTATACCCTTATTAATTCTTTTGGGTTTTGTCATGCATTTTCAATCTGGTGGTAAGTATATCGAGTGTATTATCTTAATTTTTGCCCACTTCTTATATAATCTCTACTTGCACAAAAACCCAAGAGCTTTCCAGACAATGGGAGCCAGACATTTCAACAAACACCTCATACGCATTCCAAAAGACGAAAACAGTTAGAGCACAAAAGTAGTAACAAGCGCAACATTTGTCGCAAATTCATAAATAGGAATTCACGCGGGAAACAGAATAATTGACTTTATTGAGAGGGTAGCGGAGACAAGACAGGTGCCGGAAGGAATCAAATGAACATTGGAAGCAGGAAAGAAAGAACACAAATAGGAACATGATGAGGAATCCTAACACGTAGTTGTTGCGCATCATCCCGTGCTGGTGGGCAAATCGCGCGTGTTGGAAAAAGACGATGATGTTCTTCAGTTAAAAAGTGAGGAGGGGGTCCAATTCCAATGCGATTTCGAGATGGTGGGCCAAAATCAATTGGGATCTTGATCTTGGGTTTTAAATTGTGAGTCGCCTTCTGTGTTCAAATTGAGAAACGGGTTGCGAAGGGAAGATTGTGAATGTGATTATATTGTACTTTTTGCAGAGGATATCGTCTGAGAATGATCAGACGTGAATACAGGATATTAATTGAATGGAAGCTTTTTGAATGTCCTTTTCTGTTTGTAAAATTTGGTCCATCAATTTACAAGAACATAAATATATAGATGAATCATCAAAAGCTAAGTGGTGAGATTATGCAACAATATCAAATATATTTGGAGGATCATTGTCCTTTAACACTCTCTCAAATCTTACTCTCTACTTTTTTTTTTTTTTTAATTTTCTATCTAAAATCTCACTCTCCCTCTAAATTTTTTTTTCTCTGGCAGTTTTATCTCTCTAAAAATATTCACACTCTCTCTAGGTTTTTAAAATTCTTCCTCTAGAATCTCGCTCTATTAGGGGTGAGCATCAGTAGGACAGGAGTCAATTTTTTGTCGAAACCGCCACTAAAACCGACCAAGTCGGTTCCGTTTATGGAAAACCGACGACTCTACTACAGTGGGCTTAGACTGTCGGTTTTGTCAATTTTTTAATTCGTTTTTTAATAATTTGAATTTGATTTTTCATAAAATTAAATTTGTTTATGAAAAGTCACCATATTGCAATTTAATTATTTTTATTATTTCAAATTTTATTGTGATGATTTGAATATTCTTTTTAATAATTAAATTTAACTGATGATAATATTTTGATATCAATTAAAGAGTCAGTTACACTAGTAATCAATATTATGACAAATTCTCACGAACAATAGTTGTTCTTAGAAATTCAAAAGACAAATTAGATCCAAACCGAAAATACAGGCTACTTCTAAGTTGTAAAATATTTAAAAAGTATTAAAAATTATGTTTTTTCATATTATATTGTGTTTGGTTGGTTGGTCGGTTTTAACGATTTGATATGTTCCAATCGACCGACTCATCGATTATGAAATATCAAAATCGACCACCGATCGCAAGAAGTTCGAAACCGACCGATCGACCTTAATTTGTTTGGTTTCGATCGGTCGACTCAATTTTTCAAGTACGTTTGCTCACCGCTACTCTCTATTTCTCTCTAAACTTTTTAATTCTCTCTAAACATATCACTCTCCCTACCAATTTTAAATCCTCTCACCCAATTAGCTTACGAAGTAGATGCAGAGAAGCTTTCTGAAAAATCAACACTAAAAAACGAAGCACATGATTAATAATAGTTAATGATTAGTAATGTTATAAGTTTCTTCTTCCTTAAATTTCAGCCAAAAAAATGAAATGTTATAAAATTAGAAAGAAACAACCATGAGTTTTTCTTTATTGATTATATCAAATTTAGAGAATTTTCTTAATATGTATTTTTGTAAACTTGTAAACAAACCCTCTCTTTATTTCGGGATTTACATTTTAAAAGTATTTCAATATTTTAATTAAATTTTAAAAACCAAGCCTTAGTTATCGGAAAACCCATCAATATGTAAAAACTCTAGAGAAACAACGAATATTTCTTCAAGTCCGATCCAATTTTCCATTTTAATGATAAAAAGTAGGTTAAATTATACTTTGATTTCTATGTTTCGAACATAGTTTTTATTTCTATTTGTTAGTACAATATTTTTATTTGAGATTTAACAAAAACACGGGAATTAAATTAAAACATATAAAGTCATAACAACCAAATTTAAAACTATGTCAAAAACATAACCAAGAAGCAACAATCTAATCTAGGGTTTAAAATTGAAAATCTAGAAGACAAATTACAGATGTTTGTCACCGGAGACTGTTCCGGTGAAGACGTAATCGTAACAGAATCACTCGAATGGCAAAAAGCGAAGAGAGGAACGCCGATTACCTGACGCCATGGCCGGCAACTGAAACCAAGTCGTTTCTACGGTCGTCGGCGAACCAGTACCGGAGACGCTTGCTTTTGACGTCGATCGTCGGCCGGAAATGGGGGCTCCGACTTCGAAATCTGGAGATCGCAGAATCAAATCGTAGAGATGAGAATATATATGGGCTTGGGCCAGGGGACTTTCGTATCATGAGCCCATGGGCCGTGGTTTTGTAGGCAAGCTCATCTGTTTAACTCCTCTGGGCTTGGCCCAATGATTCTTTAGTATCATAAACCCATGGGCCGTGGCGTTGTGAGTAAGTCCATGTTGTTAGTTTGGGATGCATCTATCTCATTCTAGAATGACTATTATAGTTCTTGAATTTTTAGATTTAATCTATTTTGAGTTCTAAATTTTTAAAAGGCTGATTTAATCTTTAAAGTTTTAAAATTAATTATTTTAGTGCTTACCCTTTTTTTTTTTACAAATGGATATAGTAGCTTCAAAATATATATATATATATATATATATATATATTAATGTGAGGATGTATTTGAGCCATATAAGTTGATTCAGGTAAGGATACAGATCCAACTATACGATCAGAGTTTAAAGAGTAAATACAGAAGTCAAAAGTAGTTGTTTTCTTTAGATTTGAGGACTAAAATATATATATATATATATATATATATATATATTAATGTGAGGATGTATTTGAGCCATATAAGTTGATTCAGGTAAGGATACAGATCCAACTATACGATCAGAGTTTAAAGAGTAAATACAGAAGTCAAAAGTAGTTGTTTTCTTTAGATTTGAGGACTAAAATAACTTTTTTTTTCTTTTAAACAAAACCAATGACTAAAATAAAATATTTTAAAAGTTTAGAAATTAAAAGATTTTTTTAATCTATAAACTCGTGTAGGATTTAAGTATTTAGCTTAAATTTATAAAATTATTCTTAAAATTCTAAAAAAGTTTTGACTTGGTATGTCAATTTTGTTTTAAAAAAAATATTTCTATTCACTCCCTACCATGAACATTGTTTGCTATAATGTTTTTAAAAAAGTAACAGAAAGTTGATATGACATAGTGCGACGCAGTAGCAACAAGTGAACTAATTTAACCCACCTACTAATTTAGTTTGTGTACTTGTTTACTTGTCTATTTAAGTGTTACGACACATCAAATTAGTTAATATTTCTCTAATAAATATGTCATATTAACGAAATCATATTAAAAATATAGAGGAAAAAGTAGTTTTAACCCGTTAAGGTGCATCGACTTTTATCTTAAATTTTCAATTTCATTTTATTACACTTTAAACTTAGATAAGCGTCGAAGTATTCCCCTAAATTTTAAAAAGTACGGAAACTTTTACCCTTTTAAAATGCTATTCGTGGTTGAAAATTTTAAGCTTTGAATCAATCTAAATTTAGAGTAAAAAATGATATAACTTATTAAGTCTAGGATTAAAAATTAAATTCCTTTTCCCAAAATTTAAATAATAAAAAGAATAATAAAAAAAAGTTGTAAAAAAAATATGAAAATTGAAAAGGAATGAAATTGAAGACGTAGAGTGATAAAAGATGATGGGCGACACCCGCCATTGACGGCGGCTTTGATAACGTAAACCAACGTGGTACCAATCCAAACATCAAAATCACGTTGAAAATACGATTAATAATTTAATATTACTCTCTAACACTAAATAAATAAATAAATAAAAAAGAAAATTATAGTCTTCGATTGCGGGCATTCTTTTCTACTATATATTCGCATTTGACCCAATACAATAAAATAAATTAGCCCATCCACTTCCATTATTATGAAATAATGATTTTATTTATGTGAATGGAAAAAATAAAAAATGAGAATAAAAAAAACAAGAACATAATTTTGTTGTCTCTAAAAATTACAATATAATACAATTTAGTCGAACTCCAAAAGCACCCAACGTCAGTTAGCTATGACAAATTTTAATCGATCAGGAGTTCGATTTCATTAGTTAATAATGTTTTGATGTAATTCTTTTAGTAATTATTTTCAAAAAAGAAAAAGAATTCCATGTTAGGGATATGGGTTTTTTCTTTAGAATATTTTAATTTTGGGTTATTTTATCTTTGTTTCAAATCATAGAAGCAAGAAAGCAAATATGGAAAAGAATGATTTGATTAATTGCAAAGTGGACTAATTGTTTGGTGGATAGAAAGAGTCCACTTTGTTTTAATTAAACCTATTTTAGGGTGAAGTTTGTTGCGATTTGACTGCCCATTGATTGTGATATTTTAACCCATAAAAATATATAATATCACAAAACCCTAACCCTTATCAAATACTTTTTGCCTCCATATATTTTTCACTTTTGTATTATTGCCATTTTTTATGTAAATAAAAAAGTTTCAATTAACCTTGTAGAAATCTATTTAATGAATTTCGCGTGACAATTTAAATATATATTGGAACCAAAATAGAACGAACTCAAACTCACAAGAAACTTGATTTGTCTCATGTCCTAATTTAGTTGGAGAACAGAGAACGAATTGTCAAGTCTAATTCGAGACGAGCTTGCTTCGACAATATTTGTACATAATTTTTTCATTGACTAAAAATATTACATGTGTTTATATATTTACCCCATCATACCTATTATCTTTATTGTACATCATTTTACTTTTTCTTCCTTATCAATTATTACCTTTTTGATGGGTCTACTCAATCATCTTTGTTTTCTCTGTCACCAATTTTGTATATAATATCTCCCATAAGATTTGATATTTTCTTCTTAGGAAAATGCTAGATTTATGTAACTAATCAAAATTAAAAAGTAGAACTTGTATTTATAAGGTGAGTTTAGTTTATCTCAAAATTTGAATTTGGCTAATTCCATGCGGTTACAACACATATTAAACAAATCTAAATTTATTTAGTTAGTTTATTAACAGTAGGTATACATCATCTCAATTGATAAATCAAATTTAAAGTATTTTCTAAAATTAAAGAACATATTAGAGAGAGATTAAATTTTCTGACCAAAGTTGAAAATTATTTTCTTATGGTAGATGAAAGCATTAAAATTTCATTCTCAACACTTTTATGCCCAAAAAAAATCCCCATACCCTTGATATTATGAAAAAACATGTATTTTTCTCCCTTCTATTTTCCTATATGAGCTATGGTTTTTTCTCTCCCCTTCTAGAAATATATTTTTTTATTTTATTTATTTACCTCTTCCAGTACTGTTGAGCTTGTACAATATTCAGGTACAAAGTTCACATGTCAACTTTTTGTTGATAAGATAGGGATAACTTGTGATTGAATAATAAAATTGAAACACGAGTGCTAGGGTTTAGAGTACGCATGAAATTTGAAGCTTCGTTGCAATCATAAATTTTGAATGAAAAGAGCTCAATTTCACAGAAATACCAGCTCAAAGAAAAGAAGTACACGCTGTAAATATTGTTAAGAACAACGGTATCCTCTTACCTCTAAATATATCTACAATGATATGATATTGTCCGCTTTTGACATAATCACGGAGTTATTTCTGGTTTCAACTAAAAGATCTCATATCAATGGAGATAATTGTTGTCATCTTTATATGACTGAAAAAATTAAGAGTATGTGTATAGAACTTGCGTTAATAAATAATTATTACTAATGTCTCAATCAATACTTCGATTGATCAAAGCATTATCTAAATTAGGTCGATTTTACACTAAACCCTATTTAACATGGAAAAGTTGTGGAAATATTTTAAAGAAAAACACTTTTGAAATATGAATATTTTTAGGAGAAGAAATATACCTTTATTAGGTATCTCTTTGAAAAGTTCTTAAACCATGCTCAGAAACGTTTTTGAATTTTAGTATACATCTACGAATAATGCATGAAAGCTTTTGTAAAAGTAATTTATTTAATTTTGTAAAAGCACCTTTTATCATATTACAAAATTTTCTCGAACACGTTATATATAGAAGTTGGCAATATACGCTAAATTATTATTCTCCCACTTATTATTGCTCTTTTTTAGTTCTTTATACTCATGGTAAATTAAATGAGAGATCCCACCAATATGTTTGAAGTTATGGTTGATGGGAACTAGTTAATAAAATATTTTTTTTATTATAGATTTATATATCATTCTAGTCGCTTGAACATTAAAAAGTTATATATAAAAAATATATATTCAAAATTTCAATAAATTCGTGTAGTTTGAAATTTAGTACTCTACATTTATGTAATATAAATTTTGGAGGGTGTGTAAAAGAACAAATACAACTTCATACCCAAGCTCTCATTTATATAGATAATTAGTAAAGGCTTGAAATAATTTAACCTAAGAAAAGTTTGTTTAACACTATTTTGTTTTTAGTTTTTTTTTTAAAAAAGGTAAGAGCGTGAAATAATTTGTTTTTTTTTTTAATAATTTCGTAAGATTCTTCGTTTGAAGGAAGAGAACAAAATTAAATAGAGGAAAGCAAATGAATCAATTTGAAATTGGTAGCTTTCGGAAAATGGTCCATAATGGAATGGAGATTATGGGATTGTGCCACTTTTTTTCTTTTTTCTTTTTTTGGATTAATTTGCGCTCCAATAATTAGCCCGGTCCCCCACCCGACCCGGAAAGATGACAAAAAGACAAATGGGTCATGGGTGTCAAACTCACCCCGCTAGTGGAATTCGTTCCATCACAGCTCACTCAGATGTTGACACGTTATCCTCATCCACCTTTCAATGTGAACCACCGGTCGCCTCCCGCCAAAAATTATCCTCCCCCAGAAATCGCTTCCTCAGATCGCGCTTTTTTAATGCCCCGGTTAAGTCAAACGCATTTTATTTTCCCATTTGTCATTAACAGACCGCGACGGCGGGGCCCCTTTCTTTTTCGCCGATTTTTTCCCTATACGGCGGCGCGCCGCCGCCAAAGAATCTGGATTATTCAAACGGAGTGTTCAAGTTCATTGGCTCGCACTTTATTAAAAACTAATAACTGTCTTCTTTCTTTATAATGTTTAAATTTCTCTCGTAAATAAATTATTGTTGTCTGTTGATATAATTTTTCGTCGAGCTCCACAGGTCGGTCACGAGCTAATCGAAGCGAGCTGTCGAGATGCGATCTCACGTGACAGTGAAACCTGCACAGAGAACAAACACTCTAGTGGAATTGCGTACCTCACTCGTGGGATGAAGTGTCCCTATTATAGACAGGCGGGGGAGACAAGGTCGATGGAGCAGTTTCGACAGACAATTACGATTGTTGGGCACCAGGTTGGTGATCAGACCTGAGGTCAAATTCCTCAAGTCGGCTAATATGGTTTCTTCATCTCAGTTTGGTAAGGATCAGGTCGGGAGGTACGGATTATCCATTTTATGCCTTATGGTAACTTCGAATTGAGTTGGTGCATAAAATGACCACCAACATTGGCCCCCTCTTTGCAAAGTCGAGCGATTCAGAGCGACGTTCCGAATTCAGTTAGAACGGTCAAACAATGTTGGTGATCAAATTCGAACCCACGACTTCTAGCATAGTTTGCTTGACTCCCGTTTTTCTTTTAGTTCCCTTATTACAAGTTAATTTGGTTGGAGGCTATTTATCGCATGACACGTGTCAACATCATGGCCAACCTTCTACAAGATAATAAGAAAATTCAAGCTCATTTATCGCCGGACACGTGTCAACATCACAAGTAACGTTCTACACAATAATAAGAACACTCAACCGCATCTTCCGAATTGGTGTAAGTGTCAACAGCTGGGCTGATAAATAGCCGAGCCGAGCTACAAATTACTTTTCAGTCAACCTACACTAAGTATTGACCGACCTCAAAGAATACCCACAGACGTGAATACAACAAAAATGTTCTCAGACAATACGTTATATTTTTCGAGATATTGAAAAGTCGTTGGAGCATCGTCGGAAACTCTTCCTTATTTTACAGATACTTTAAGCTTTTGTATTGATCATTCCAACTTTACAGATTTCGAACTCACGATCAAACAAATTTGTTAATCATACGAGGAATATACACAAATTCAAAGTCTCTGAAACTCATTTCTTCCATTACACACAAAATTTATTCCAAAAACATAAAAATCAAATACACGTGTTACTCTTAAAACATTACAAACTCCATCTTTCCAACTCTAGATTACACAAAACGAGGCGTTTTAAAGCGTTCATCATCTCCTATGACTTTAGTGGRAAGAGTCAAATTTGTGGAATATACGAATAGAAACCAGTTAGCCTAATAAGGCCAAAGAGAGACATAAAAAATGAAAACAGAGAGCAAAAATGAGACGTTTCCTACAAGTACATATATATTGACAAATTTGAGTATGCTTAAACGGTGGCGTTTCGGGTGCAGCATGTGGCTGCTGCTCTCAGCATTAGAAACACAATTGTCTTTGTTTGTGCTTTCTTTTTTTGCTTTTACTCTGAATTCTGAAAGACCCATTTACCAAATTCTCCACAAATTGTCTTTCTTTCTTTTTGGTTTTATTTACTATTTTTTTGCTCCATCTCAAAAAGGCAAAAAATACTACAGAAAGTGGTCACGAGAATGTCCCTATCAAACTTGGAATAAATATTTTAAGGCTGATTTAATAACTTTTTTTTCCCTAGTACTTTAGAAACATAAGCGTTAAGYGYTCARTGACGATTCTTRTTTCTATATTTTTATTTATAAGAAACATTTTTAAAATTATGTTGAAATTTTAAAAACATCAAAATCAACTTCCTTGTTTCTTACCTGACCTATATTTCCAAGAACATAAATGAAAGTATTAGTTTATCTTCCTTGACTCATAGAAGGTATAATAAATATTTTAAAAAACAAATAAACGTAAATATTTTAAATATTTAATTTTAGAAAAATTCATATAAAATTTTTACCTTTTCTTTTAATTAAATAGGGTAGAGAAAAAGAATAAAGACCGATAATTACCAAATATATTTTGTTTCTTTTTTCAATAAAAAAAAAAGAATGATCATGAAACAATTACCAAAACCATTTCTATTTTACTTTACCAAAAAAGAAAAAATAAATAAACAGGAATGTTTGCAAAACCTTGTATTTAATGGTAAATACTCACTTCTTCAATATTCTTAACGGTCATTAACGGTCATTAGGACAATAAAGGTCAAGTTAGCAATTATGAGGTCAGTATTTTCTAAATTATAATTCTCATAACCTTTCAAGTTCGGTTGTAATGGCACAATTACTTGATTTACTTGCAAAGCTAGAAGACAATGTTTAATCTCTCACATATTTGAAATTTTACATATTCTACTCTCACTAGCATTGTTTTGTAGGTGTGGCACTTCTTAGAACTATCCATATATTTATTTATTTTGTATGTTTGTCATAGAATATGTTGTTAATATAATCGATGTTGCTAGTTTACAAGGAAGTTCAATATCTTTTGATTGTAGGCACAATATAATAATTCTTGAGTGTCTATATTTAAAAATACACATTAAAAAACAACTCTATATTATCCAAAGTTCTAACCTTAAGAAAATCAGAGTAAAAAAATAGGAAAAACCAAGCCGTGGTTTTTTGCATTTTTACGGAATCACCGGACCGCCCATTGTATAGTACACCATTTACATAGATAGATAATGTCGAGGAGGGGTAGTTGCGACACTTCACAAGGCCACGTCATATCCACTTAAAATCATCTGATTGGTTACGGGTACAAGCCGATTTGATTGAAAAAGGCCATCCGGTCCAATCAGACGGCAATGCCATCGCCCCCCAATGCTGACCATACATGCACATACATGGCATCCACGTCATACATACATGACATCCACATCCATGCCATCATTCAAATCTCCGTCTATATATGCTTCCTTCTCCCTCCTTCCAATTCCCAATTTCTCACCCGCAGACTAAAAATGGGAGAGGTCGGTTTTCAAATTGGGATTTTAATTTTAATTTTTTTTTGTTTCAATTCACTCATTTTCTTTGTGGGGTTTTTCAGCAAAAGGTGGAGGTAGCTAAAAATGAAGGCGAGAAGAAGCCGGCCGTAGAGGCTGCACCCCCGGCGGCGGCCCCGGTGGCCGCCGTGGACGGTGGTGCCAAGAAAGAAGACGGCGGCGGCGCAATCACCGCCATTTATAAAATCGACATGCATTGCGAAGGGTGTGCTAAGAAGATTAAGCGAGCTGTCCGACATGTCAAAGGTAAAAAAATATAAATTGAAACTTTACAAGTGGAAATTCCGAATATTCTGATTTTTTTTTTTAATTATTTGAATCTGGGTTGCAGATGTGGAGACTGTGAAGGCGGATTGTGGAGCGAATAAGTTGACTGTGATTGGGAAAATGGATGTTATTGCAGTTAAAGAAAAATTGGAGCTGAAAACGAAGAAGAAAGTGGAGCTCATCTCTCCACAGCCTAAGAAGGACGCCGCCGCCGCCGCCGCCGCCGGCGAGAAGAAGGCCGATGAGAAGAAGCCCGAAGAGAAAAAGGCACCGGAGGAGAAACCTAAAGAGGTATTAATAAATGATTTTATGAATTATAATATTTTTGTGTAAGAAATTACATTTTTATTGGAACCGATTTCGTTTGGCGAATTAAAAACCACCCGCATGGTACCCACGTTTCAGCTGTCTTACTTCTTAATTCGTCTATGAAGAACCTTTTTTATTT